ACAATATAGAACAAAGTATTTTCAGTTTGAGAGAAGAGCTCAGCCTAAATATGCAGGATTTGTGTATTAAACATGTAAATGAAACACAACACATGATGAGGAAACAACATTATAACACAGATCAGAAAATAGTGTAATATGAGCCCTTTAAAAATGTTATCTTATTTTGTTACACGGCCGTCAAATTTTTCTGAGACATGTTTGAGCCCAAATTGGAATAACCTTGAAAGGCCAGTGATAGCTCCATTCATTTCCAAATGGAGCAGTGGGGCTAACGGGCCGAAGCTTAGCACCAGGTGGTCGATTCAAACCTGATCCAAGCGCTCCTTCATAGAATCACATGTCCAGCCGCAGATCCATCACCGCCATTGTGTTTTTACTGCCGCTACATACTATCAATCAGCTCCGTGAAGGCTCTCATCTATCAAAACAGGCTCACTTAGCTCGCGCGGGGAGGGGAGGGGCCGCTGATCTCTGAAGCGTGGACCCTAACACTGTAACAGCAAAACAATGCCACTTCACTTAGCGTTTTTTTTTTTTTCATTGCATTTAATATAATTGGTTCATAAAAGTGTTGTTTTGGATCTGATTTGCGTTGTGTTTTGTAGAGTCTGATGCCTGGAGCAAGGAGAGAAATATAAAATAGCGTTTTTTTTCATTGCATTTTAAAGTAGTGTATTAAGCAGTTTGAGTGGGCTGTCCTACTTTCTATGATAATTTTGGACTTGAAATAAATGGAATAAATAATCGTTCTATGCCAATGCACGATTAAGTGACACTATTTTGCCAATTCATTAACAGTTGTTGTCCACATCAATTAATAGTGCACTATATAACATTTCTCACAGATCTGCTACCTGCTTGTGTCCATAAAGATTTTTGTGGTAAGTTTTACAGTATTACATAAAAGAAGAACATATATTGTTTTTGAGTCTACTATATAGGTATAATATAAATACTATATACACCCGTAGATCATTATGTTAACATTTGCACATTTTAAATTGCAATACAAATCTAAAATATTTAATAAAACAAACGAGTCCGCTGACTTCCGTATTAGAAAAATGTGGTGCCTAATGGGAGCTGACGTTGCCATAAACAAAGCATCATCACAACAAACAGTCGTACCAAAATGATTACGCGACGCTGCTGAATCCTAAACATATCACCGATTAGGGGGAACAGCTATAACATAGTTAAAAGCTCTGAAAAGTAAATTTTTCTGAATACATCTGCTTTAAAGTTGATCCTGCATTTTTATGATATGATTTATTTATGAGAACATACATCACTGTATGCAAGGTGGTGTCACTCAGTGGTCCCCGTGGATATAGCTAATTTTAATGCCATACTGTGAAACATTCTGGGTAAAACAATGACGTCTGAATGGAGAAAAGCAGGTGTCAGGCAGTACATCTTTAAAGCTTTGAAGTATTTCCACTGCCTGGCAAATACAGAATAATATTTCTCTCTCTTATCATACAGAGAGATATCAGCTTGTTGCACCCACAGACTGTATAAAGATGAGGACTAAGGGAGTGTGAGGTCACCCATAGCATTTGGTTCCAGTCAAATGAAGCTCACAGAGGTTGGAAGATATGCAGCAAATTTGGAGCCAAGTTCCATGTAAGAAAAATGATTTAATATGTAGACAAAATAGATGAATAAAAATACCAAGATCATGTAGAGTGGGTGGAGCCTGGAGAGAGGGGCGACCGTTTCTCAAAACAGAGTGAACTGGATACAGTCCATGGAGCCAGAAGTGAGCCCATGCTTACTTCCTATTTGGAACCTGCAACATATGCTTCTCAAACTGGTTAACCCACCTGTCAGTCACGCCCATCTAACCTCATGGAAATGCACCCGTGACCAGACTCACATCTGCATTCTGTATCCAAGTGTTTCCAAGAAGATACACATGAAATGCCAAAGCAAAGGTCAAAATACGTTTAAAAGGCCTGTAAAATGTATTGTAGCTCTATGTATACTGTGCCAGAATCTTTGTACCCAGCTGGATATATGGCCTACTTCTCCAATAACATGCATGGTTTGGGTTGACTGGGAAAACTAGAAGAACCCCATGGAGACATAACGCAAACTCAACACAGAAGATCCAATATTGCCTGAGAATTGTACCCACAACCTCCACATCTTTCACACAGGCCAGATTGCTGACTTCAATACAAAAGGCACTATCTCGCCTATAATCCGCCAGCTCAGACTCATTATAAGCTCATGCAAGATACATATCAGAGAAATGGTGCGACTAACTAGATTGCATACCCCTTTGTGCAGAGTGGCTAATGGAGGGCTGACCACAGGGGATGGGACCTGTTAGCTGTTAGCTGCCGCGCCATGTATTCTCCTGCAGGATGCTAGGCCACCGACAGAGCTGCACCGCTGCTCTGTTCACACAGATAAATCCCTGTTGCACTTAGGAGTCATCCATTTTTAATGCGGGGCCTGCAGAGATGTGAGGAGCCAGAGATGTAAGGAGCCAGAGGAGGGGAAGAGGGGAGGAGGGAAGGAGGGAGCTAATGTGTGTTTGGCATCAGGTACATGCTGTTTACTCCATACAGTCAAAAGTATCGAAAAGCGGACACTAATCGATAATAAAACTAGTATCAAAAGTAGATACTATATTTGAACAAGTATCAATAGTAAAAAAAAGTCAAATTCACAGGACAAAAAAAAAAAAGCTTTAGAATGGTCTTGAGCTGTATCAAAGCAAATATATGACCACATGGACTAGTACAAGACACAGGCTGTAAAAAGAAGTGAACTAAGGGAGCGTGACGTCACCCACGGCGTTCGGCCTTGGGTGACGTAAATTTGTAGCCGGTTCCATTTTAGGAATAGGAATTTATTAATGGACAAAATGTCAAAATTAAAACACCATTATGTAGATCAGACTAATAGAAACATAAAGACATGTTCACTTCCCACTTGAAACAGGGCAGATAGAGGGATAACTGTGTCCATTAACCCTCTATCCACCACAGTCTATAGTACAGGAGTCTCCAATCTTTTGCATCCAGTGAGCTACCTTTAGAAAACTGAAATGCTGGAGAGCTTCTCATTTTAGCGATTGAAAGAAATTGAATAGATATAAGAGGGCAAGCTTTAAATGTTGTACAGTTAAATGCCTTTAAAATATAAATCCATTATCTGTTTATTAGTCCACATAGTTCAAAATAACACATGTACAATGGTTATTAATCAAATTTGAGTTATTCAGTATAATGCATAATTCAGAAATTCTTTGGTGAGCTACTTATAACAGGGTGAAGAGCTACTGGTAGCTCCCGAGCTACAGGTTCGAAGACCCCTGCAATAGTATATGTCCCTGAACCACTATAGAAAGAAAGATAGACATATACTTTATTCATTGCAAGGGAAATTCAGGGGATTACGGAGATATAAGACTACATGGCAATATAAAAGAAAATACTGTGATTTAATTTTGAAAATCTACAATAGTTTTTTAATTATCATTGTGGTTTTGGAATCTCTATAATATCAAAAACTAGTGTGCAATTTTTGTACCATGACAACACTAGTACATAGTAAAAATTGCATGTTGTTAAGATTATTACTAGTATACTTACTCACCTTATACAATCGTACATCTATGTGTATAGTAGATGCCTGGTGATTAATGCATGGCCCATTCACACTGCAGACGTAACCCATCCTACCCTTGAGGACTGAATACATAATCCATATAGGCTTGTTGGGCACAGTGGAGATCAGGGAGTGGAGAGCAGGGAGTGGAGAGAGACATTTGCACTGTTTGCACCAGGGCACTGAAGCAGATCTGATGTGAACACATGCCTATAAATTACATTCTAAAGAATCTATAAGCCCCCTCAGACATGATCTTAGTAAAAGGACATACAATATGTTAAAGGGCCTATATTATGTTATTCGGATCTATGTTATAAAGTTGTTTCCTCATCAAAAACATCTCTGCTGTGTTTTTAAACTCCATACACATTCACTGGTCTCATTTGGATAATTTCATCCCTGGAATTACCAATCTCTACTGAAGTGAAAGTAAAAGGTAAAAGGCTGTTAACTTGAAAACTACCACTTTGTGGCATTTTGGGCTTTGGAGATGTAAACAGACTAATAATAAAGGGTTACTCAAACATGTGTGAATGAAACAAAACACAATCTGGGGATGTTTTTGGTGAGGTAAGAGCATTCTAACATGGCTAAAAGCTCACAAGTGTCAATTTTGTGCATTAAAGAACCTATAAATGAAACTCCCCCTGAAAGCTCTGCACACATAGCACCGAATTCCACTCCAGTAAATAAAAGTATCAGGTTACTGTGGGAGTAGTTAGTGTGCCTCAGTGTAGAACTCAAAAAGTTATTCAAGACAATCAGGACAGTCTGCAGCTGTACAGTATTGGCCTTCCTGTGTACTGGACTGGACCTTCAGATGTCAGCACAGGGAGGGGCTCTTCTCCTCTTCACGTCTTCACTCCAAACATGATGTGTGTGAATGGGGCAGAATCAGCACAGACATTCTTGTGTGGGCAGAGCTCTGACACAAGCAGAGCAGTGTCCTCCAGTCTCACAGACACAGAGGAGGAGGAGGAGGAGGAGGAAGAGGAGTAGTGTCCCAGCAGAGGGTAGACGGATGTTTGCTCTCACAGTAAGTGCTGCTTATCATCTGTGCCCTGTGCTGGAGCTCCCACTCTCTTTCTATTGGGACAGTGTGTTCAAACAATGGAAAAAAAAAACTGCCTTTTACAGAATTCTGTTCAGAAATCTGACAGGAAGAAAATGTACAATATACTTCACTATGTACTGTTATTAAAAACAATATTAATAGTGAATACTTTCCCCCGTCCATTGTGTACAAACACTTTGTTAGACGCAGTCTGCTGCACCTTTAATGCCTCCACCCACCATGGTCGAGCCCCCCGCCCCCTCCACAGCTCCGCCCCTACTGTAAAGAAACAGGACCACATGGCTTCAAATACGGTATAAGATTTTATTTCTCTAGTGAATTCATATGTTTGTTATTCTGCACAGCAGCATACAGGAAAAATTGTGGTAAAATATAAATAACAAAGTTCAACAGTGTTTGTCATTTTTCTCTTTATCATTTCGTCAAAAACCTCTGTTAAAAGTGGCACATATTTGTCATTTTGCCTCAACATCATCCACTCCATATGCAACATTGAACAGCTAAACTCGTCAAAGTAATGGTCAGTATGTACACATCTCACCTTGTGGTGAAAAAACAATGCTTATAGCTTCCGTGTTAAATGAAAAATGAAAATACAATTATGTTATACAAAGATCAAAAATACTATCAAAAAGCCTTATTATAAATGGCAGCACTATATCAATAAACTGCTGTGGACATTTGTATTTTACACATTAAGTACAAAATCCTGTTGAGGTAGTGCCCTCTGAAGTCACTTGTAAAATGTTAAAATACTGTCTTTTTACATTACAGCAAATCTCTGTCCATTCTATTAGTATATCCTTTGGTAAACAAAACTGTCAGTTATGTGCAGTCCTGTGAGTGACACCATCCCACCCATCGTACATTCAGCACAATATGTTTGCATCTTTTTGGGATTCTCTCACAAACACAAAAGGAATCGGTTACAGTAACATTCATTTTGCTCGAGTGGGGAGATAGCTGGGCTCCGCTTGGAAAAACCCACAAGACTTTATAAAGATATGATGATCAGGGGCGAGGAGAGAAATAAAACTCTAAGTAAATCCAGTGTGCCCTTATTGGGAATGTAAACATAAAAGTGTCTGCATTGGAGAGGTTTTGGCTAGGCTACAATTGATTGGAACGTCCCTTGGAGAATGCGAGACAGAGCTGGCATTGTCCCCCTTGCCTTCCAGCCCAGGCAGATTGGGTATCAAACTTTTGTGTAGCAAGTTGGAAAATACGCCCTGTTTCAAAGACTTGCCTGTCTCCCACTAGCCGCACTTCAACAATTACGACATTCTTGAGCTCTTTTTTAATGGCAAAAACATAACTTTGGTTTTCTACAATGAGAAAGAAAAAAATTGTAGCAAGCTTTGCCTGCCATACAAAAATACTTGGCAAAAATAGATGACATTCAGATTTTTTTTTTTTTTTTTTTTTTTTTTTTTTAACCATGAAGAAAATATTTTTGACTATTGATACATCGGTGTTTAATAGCACACGCTCATGACTAGGACTCTAAAAACTAAAAAATAAATCCATAAAGCATCAAATCATTCTATGTGAATAAAGGAACTATAAAAATAGAAGAGCATTATGTTTATATGATCAAAACAGTCATCTGGAAATTGTTCAGTGCAATTTTATAAGACGTATTTTTTTTTAAGGTGGTCCCGTTCAGAAGATTTTCATCCTCTTACCACCCACAGCCCTACCACCCTTTAGTGGTCGCTGGGAAGGCTGCTCTTTTGACAACGGACAGTACTTTATCGTGTGCGCATTGTCCCCGTTTGCGCTGCACAGGGGGCACGTATACGCCCGGAGGATGGGGCACACCACTCTGCCATCCGGGGTCTTGAGAACGTGGGAGCCGTACACCTCCTCGGGCGCGCCGTTGTTCCGACAAAACACGCAAATCTTCGGCTCTTGCTTGCCCCTGCTCGCCGTCGGTTTGTTGCGCATCTTCCTCGCTGCCTCCACGCTGAACAGGTCGAAGCCTTGGAACGCGCCCCCGAAGCCCGCGTCCACGCCCCCGCCGATCCCGCGCTCCGGTAGGTGCTTCTGAATCTGGAACGGGCTGAGGATGGAGAAGCGCTCTTTCAGGTCCAGTATGGAGGCAGGGGGCGGGCTCACGGACGGGCAGCAGCAGCGGCAGCAGCAGTCCAGGTGGCCGCTCTCCGAAGCGCACGGGCACGCAGGGGAGTCGTCATCCTCCAAGCCCAGCGTCGCCTTCAGGGACTCGGTGATAGAGTTGGGGTTCTGCGGCAGCCTGTTGGTCTTGGTCACCAGAGTGGTCAGCCCCAGATAGTCGTTCCAGGAATTAAAAGTGTAGTCGTAAGGGCCGCGCGCGTTCAAATAGTTGTGATTGAGAAAATCCATGGCAACTCGTGGCGTGTGCTTTGTTGTGGAAATAGAGTAATTCCAAATAAGAGCGCGAGGAGAAGTAGTAGAAGTGTGCGTAATAGCCAGGCTCCGGGAATGGTTCATGTACCGCGTCTCCAATGTTCCTGAAACATTTGAGCGGACTGCGTAAAGGCTTTCTGGTTATAAGGAGAAGGGGGGCGGGGCGCCAGTGGATTCTACGACACAAGTTTGTGATCAGCTTCCAGGCAGCCGCCCCCTTTTTGTACAAAGAGCCACTGGACACAGCAGCACGGGCTTGTTTTGTTCCTCCACATGATCCGTGCTGCCTCTGCTTCACAACACGATCCACGATACAAACAATAAACCTCCCTTTGTTGTGTTAACAGTTGTAAATTGCTGTATATTATTTAGTATTGTGCACACTGAAGTGTAGAAACTAGAAACTAGAATTCAAGTATCTTTGTTAACACATTTTAATAACTTGTGATATTATTATTTTCTCCCAGGAAAAGCATCTGGTGTAAAGCATTTGCCATAATAGTTGTATCATAATATCATAGCTATTAAAGTTAGAACAATACTGCCTTCTGTAGTGCTGGTTTATGCTTGTTGTTTATGCTTGTTTCCTGTTTTTTGTATCTGTTGTCTGTTACCATTGTTGGAATGCTTATGTATTATTACAATATGATGAAGTTACCAAGCTACACCAGTGACTCATTGTCAACATTTGTAAGTAGTTCATATAGTTTAATGCAAAATGTCTGAAAAATGCAAAAGAAAGCTCATGTTAAATTAGAAGAGGGAGTTGGAAGTTTTCTTCTTCCCACTCCATTTTGGGCAAAAATGTATTTATTTTATAATTTAATAAAATTTTACTTTATATATATATATATATATATATATATATATATATATATATATATATATATATATATATATATATATATATATATATATATTATTTTTTTTTTTTTTTTCCTTTTTTCACTAATTACACTAATGTTACACATTCCATTGCATAAGAATGTAAATCTCTTACTTGCCCAAAACAAATACATACAGTAAATAAATAAAATAACAAAATTACTAGAAGTCATGATTTGTTTGGAGTGACCCCAGATACAGACAACATAAAGAATAGTAACTATCCATGGGTTTCATTAGGATGACAAAATAGGACAGTTGTCATAGCGACTAGCAATTTACAACAAAATATTCTATCTTTGGAATAGGAAAAGTAATCAAATCATTGCATATAACAGGAAAAAGAAACCCATGGATATAAAATCTTTTGTTACCTGATTATTATGAGCTACAATATCCACATCAGAACATGACTATAACACTATACTGTGTAATTACATAATCAAATGACGGCCATCTATCTCTCGCCTGTAAATGGATCCAATAACAAAACTGAAAGCAATTGGTGGAGCAGTTATTGGCAGTGGTAGTGTGCACAATATTGACTTTTAATCATGGTTCTCAAACTGTGGTGCAGGTACCATTGGTGGTGCAAGGGCTCAAAGTTTCAGATCAATTTATTTGTATTTATTTAGTTGACAGTGGTTGAGTAGTTTAATTCATGTGTGGGTTGGTATGGTATGGTAAGGGGTGGTTTTAAGTTTTTTTTTGGTTGTTTTTTTTTTTTGTTTTTTTTGCATTTGACCCGTCCACGCCGGTATACAATAGAGGCCCTTTTCCAAATCTTGAGTTAGGAGTACCTAGAATTAGCATACAATTCATATTATAAGTTGATTATCATAGGTTAGACCTGTTGTGACTGGTTTAGGCTGCTTTTAGACTTCATGCAATCCAATACTTCTTCATCTCTTCTTCAATCTCTAAAATTTCCAACAATATTTTTTTGAGTTCAAGTCTTAAAGGTCCTATACTACTCAAAATGTTGTATTTAATTTCATTCACACATGTTTATTAGTCTGTCTACATCTACAAAGCTCAAAGTACTCTGTTCCACCTAACGATGTCATGAAGTGGTAGTTTCCAAGTTAACTTAACTACCTTTTATCTTTTGTTCAGAAGAGATTGGCAATTCCAGATCTGAAATAATCCAAATGATTTTAGTGAAGATATAAGACGTTTGTGTGGGAATGAAACAAAACAAAACTCCAGGTATGTTTGTGATGAGGAAACATTACAACAGATCCAAAAATACTGTAATACATGCCCTTTAACAATGCACCTTCTTCTTTTCTCTGAGCCAACTTGGAACAAAGAGAGCCCCACAGCAGTCGGCACACGAGGGGTTAATCCGATGTCATTCCCACACAATGATTAACGATAGTGAATGAAGGAACATGCAGAATTGTAATGTTTCTCACCGGGGCCAAGAGAAAGAAGCGGCCATCCTTCTTTAATTGATCGGTACTGGTGCTGAAGTAATGTCATTAACTACAGCACAAGCTAACGATTGTTCCCAGCACTAACGGATAACAACTCGGCTGTCACAAAACAAAATGTGGGAGTTATGATGGATAGTGATACCAAAACAATGTACCTCATATAGAACGCTGGATTTATTACAGTCGATTCTGTTCAGAGACAACAGGGGAGTTTTTGGATTTGTCATTCTTGCAGGAAAATGTGGAGCAAAACTGTGAAAGTACACAAATACAAATACCTTTTAGGTTACAGAATTATGACAATGTTTCTCCAAGTGTGCTGCCTGAACTGTGGCATTAAACTTAAAGGTGCATTGTGTAACTTTTCTGGTGAAGGGTCAGTCATATGCTTTTCACAGTGGAGTTGTTATGGCGTTGTCTGGAATGTTTCACAGTATGGCATTAAACCTTTCTGTCTTTATGGAGACCAAACCAGACTAAGTTACAGGTCAGATCTGTGGAGATGCAGCCCCCTCACAGTCAGAATGCCTCTATATTTCTGAACTATAAAACCACTTGTAATTAAATAAATGTAAAGTAGAGCTGTTTAATATCACACTGTGGAACTATGGAATGACATTTCCATAGAAACAAGCAGGTGATGAACCCCCAACCAAAAAGTTACACAGTGCAGCTTTAAAGGAGGTAGGTTCACATGAGCTATCCTTCTGAGCATTTGCTGTGTTTTCTAGTATGTATTTATTTTCAAATGTTTTCCTTGTGTTACACAGTGTAACAACTTGCACAAATAAAATAAGTGAAATGAAAACTTGTATTGACAACTTTATTTATTTATTTATTTAGTTAGTTAGTTAGTTAGTCAGTTAGTTAGTTAATAGGGACAGTGCATATTGATGAACGCCTACAACACTGCAGTGTAAATATGACAGATTATAGTAAAAAGGCTTATTTCCATCTGCAGTCCCTAGGCAGGTAACACCACAAATTTTACTGAAAAAAAAAACCCAACAGTAACAGGTGACAGTTCTAAACTAAAAGTGTCCACAAATCTGGTTTTCCTTAATGCCATATACAGTAGAGGAACATTCCAGTTAAAACAATAACATCTCCACAGAGACAAGCAGGCGGCGAACATCAAAGATTCTCACATTTTCATTTAGGACACTCACCCATTCACACACCAGTGTATGCAGACACTGGGTTGAGTGTCTTGCCCAAGAACACAACAACAGTTTTCATCAATGGGAGTGGGAATTGCATCGCCAACCTGTGGGTCAGTGGATCTGACCACTCAAGCGATGATGTTTTTATGCTGAGAAGGGGATTCAAGCCGCCAACCTTCGGATCAGTGAACAAAAACTTTAACATCTGTATCTACTGTAACTCAGAAAAGTTACAGTGCGCCAGTGTAAATAAGGATTTATACAGTGGAGGGTTACGGTGTATTGATAGCACCAACAATAGGTCACTTATTCAGTTCCTCTTGACTAAACTAGGGCTAAATGAAAACCTGCCAGGGAATGTCCTTTTAATGTTATGTATAGGTACAGTAAAATTAAGCTTTTGTAGTATTTCTATTTATAAGAAGATCAATAATTCTAAACAAAAGAGACAATTTTGTTTGTTTTTTGTTAGTTTTTTCCATTTTGATATGTTAAAAAGTGGTCAAGTCCAATTTAATATAGGATAAATGAACAAGAAATCAAGACTAAACGTAAATCCGAAACACAGACAACTCTAAATAAACAAACAAAAGAAATAAACGTGAAAAACACAGTACTTTCAGCCCATACTTCAATACTTCCCAAAATACATCTTTTGTGCTGGACTTGTGGTGAATAGTTTTATTAAAGCGCATGATTAGTTGTGGCCATTACAGTCGGGCTTTCCTCTCACCAAAACAAAGTTAAATCACAGTAAAAACAGCCGCTTCTGACATCTCATTTTATGAAAGCCATGTTTACGGGACCTCTGGAGTCTGCCGGACAGGAAATCAATGAAAAAGTGCACCAGGGTCCAGTCGAGCATGAAACCCAGGCACGCCATGCAGACTAGTCTTCAACAGGGGGCAGCACAGTGCAATTACGAGTCAATATAAACACTGGAGCTCCTGGATGCAGTGAACCAAAGGAAAAATGGAACTGATGGGTGGAGGGATTGTTTATATTTTAGCCAGTGCTATTTAAAGATGCAGTATGTAACTTTTTGAGACTCCGACCTGCTTTTCTCTATGATGTTACTGTTTTGCTCAGAATATTCTGCAGTGCAACATCAAACATACTCATTATGCATTTATTTAAAGCACCGCTATGTAACATTCTGGAGGTGGCACATCACCTGCTTGATTCCATGAACACTGAAAGTTAAAACCATATAGATACCTTTTATGCTGTACAATTCATACCACTCACCTCCAGGCCAAATATGAGTCAGGTTTGTGGAGATGAGAGCCCATTCACAATAACACCCCATGCTTTTCAGTGCTATAAAGACAACCAAAATACTGCCTTTCCACAGATGTGCATGGGCATTTCATTGGAAATACATGAGATGGTAACTGGAGGGCATTATCGGGTGAAAAGAATATTGCAACAGGCCTATATTTATCCACAGTGAGCCCAAATCTAACTGACAGAAAACCAATCTGTACCGGCCTCTCTGACCAACACCACTTTCTCACTCTCAACAAACTTACCACATTACAAGAGTTGCATTTTTTAATCAATGTGAAACAGCAAAGAAATCCTCCTACACTTGTGTATTACAAGATTCACA